CTTCTTTTCATTGTGAAGCTTCTTTTTCTGCCTAATTCCCATACATTCTCATGTCAATACTGAATGTTTTTGTAGATATTTATTTCTTTGTATGAGTGTGTGTACAAAAAAATTAAACATAGCTACTTTTATGACCTTGAAATAATATGCATTCTTGCACTAATTACTTACTGAGGTATTTTAATTCCATTATATTGCTATAACAGTTTAAGGATATTAAAAATTAACATCAGGGATCTGTGTGTTTCTTATGAATATGTTATAGGTTTCCAAATGTAATCAGAAAACAGCATCTAATGTTTGTACTTTTTAAAGAATCTAAACAGCAGTTCTTTTCATGCTTTTCTATAGATCTATATTTAAGAGTATGTTTATTTATGTATTAAAAATTCTTTCAAGTTTATCAAGTAAGCTATATCTGGAAAAATATAGACAAAGAGCTTTCTTTTCTTTCTAACAATAGTTGCATGAGTTTCTGGGACTTTTCCTGATGAAAGAGTGTCTCCTTATCCCCAAACTGGAGCACATTTCACATCATGACCCTTAGTCCTTTGTGTATACTATATCCAGGTTCTCATTCTGTATAAAAACTCTTATTCAAAATATACTGAAAGAAAGACAAAGTAGCTTTAATAAGGCATCTACATTGGATCTAGAATTTCTTTTACAATAATTGTGCTGTTGAGTTAGTCACTTTTTGTTGTGGAGATCCTGATACTCATGTTCTTATTCATAGTTACACACTTGAGAAGATTTATAAAGATGTAAGAAAAATAGCTCAAAAGTTAAATACTATTTGGTGGCAAATTGCATGTTCATTATTTTAGCATTGAATTTATAATTAGTATTATTTCTTATCTTCAAATGAGATTTGTTTTATTGTTACTTAGAACTCTGTGAAAAATGTCTGATAAATGATTGTTTTAACTTTGATACACATATGCCTCAAAATAAGTACATGGTCATTAATAGAAAACAAGCAGGTAAATGATAAAACATTTTCATAGCTGTTAAATTAAGTTTAACAAATGAAAATGAAAACAAATAAAAAAGTAAACACTGAGGTTAAACAACTTTGTCTTATGTGGGTTTTTTTGAGAATAGAAAAAAAGCTACTGGTTTTGTTTGGCAACACAATGCATTTATTTCAATAATAGTGGGTCAAGTTCTTTGTATTGTAAAGAAATAGCATTAAGAAAAGATAAAATAATTTTGGTTAAAATCTCATGTTATCAGCATAAATGTAAGTCATCTTATTTTCAAGCCATTTGGAAACATTTAAAATTAAATAATTTTGTAACCATTTTCACATTTCTATTTGATACAGTCTTAAATTTGATTGTTTCCATTTCAACCATTGCAAATATTAACTATGTAATATATAATAAATGTAAGATTACTATTAAGCTGAGTGCTGGTGTATCACACCTGCAATCCTAGCTTTTCAGGAGGCTGATTCTGGAAGACAGATGTTTGAAGGAAGACATGTTTGAAGCAAAACTGGAGAGACAAATCGTGGAGCATGTTATCTCTAATTAACAAGCATAAAGCTGGAATTTGGGGCATAGCCCAAATGGTAGAGAAGCAACAATGTACAAGAAAAGCCAAATGAGGGCATGAAACCCAGAGTTCAGGGCACAGTACCAGCACACACAAAAAAGTTACTGGAGAGATCTGTGCTTTCATTAGGATGCTTTGATTTAAAATTCCTTTTTTTTCATCTTTGTCAGGTTTAAGGGGAGATGATTTGTTATATGAAAATAGGTGTCAGAATATTTAAGAGAAACTATATTAAAATACAATCCATGAATATTTATGAGGTGTTTTAACATGTTAAATGTGGTCTTCCTGTATTAAACGGAGTCTTAATTTTACTTATATAGCAAAATGCATCTACTTGTGGCAAAATGGTTTCTGTCACCTCTTAACTCATTAGTGCTGAAGGAATCATTATACCAGTCTAAGAAAAAACTTCAGACAACTGATTAGACAGACTCTCTCAGCACAGAAAATAACCTTTAGAACTATAAACGAACATCAACATGGAAGGACTTGAGTCGAATTTGGATATACACGGGGTTCCAAGGAAGAACGTGACTGAGGTGACGATGTTTATATTGATGGGCTTTACAGATGATTTTGACCTGAAAGTTGTATTATTTTTACTCTTTCTTGCAATCTATCTTTTTACTCTAGTAGGAAATTTGGGCCTGGTTGTACTGGTCATTGTAGATGCCCGCCTCCACAATCCCATGTACTATTTTCTCAGTGTCTTATCATTTTTAGATGCCTGCTATTCTACAGTAGTGACCCCCAAAATGTTGGTCAATTTCTTAGCAGAAGATAAATCCATTTCGCTCTATGGATGTGCAGCGCAGATGCTCTTGTTTGTTACTTTTGGGAGCACAGAATCATTTCTATTGGCTGCAATGGCTTATGATCGCTACGTCGCCATCTACAACCCTCTCCTCTACTCTGTGCGCATGTCACCCAGAGTGTATGTGCCCCTCATCATAGCCTCCTATGTTGGTGGTCTTGCCCATTCTATCATACACACAGCGGCCACTTTTAGCCTGTCTTTCTGTGGATCCAATGAAATCAGGCATGTCTTCTGTGACATTCCCCCATTACTTGCTATTTCTTGTTCTGACACTCAGTTAAACCAGCTTCTACTCTTCTACTTTGTGGGATCCATTGAGCTGGTCACCATTCTGATAGTCCTGGTCTCCTATGGTTTTATTCTATTGGCCATTCTGAAGATGCCTTCAGCTGAAGGGAGGAGAAAAGTGTTCTCCACCTGTGGCTCTCACCTGACGGGAGTGTCCATTTATCATGGGACGATCCTCTTCATGTATGTGAGACCAAGTTCCAAGCATGCCTCAGAGCATGACATGATCGTGTCGATATTTTACACCATCGTGATCCCCATGCTCAATCCCGTCATCTACAGTTTGAGGAACAAAGATGTGAAAGCAGCATTTCTAAGAATGGTAGAGAGATATGGCTTCATCACTAAAGTACACATTTAGAATAAAGATAAACTAAAAAGAATAAAGTGCTGTTGAGCACCTGTATCTAGAAACTACAGAGGAAAAAGGCCTGTTTCAGATAATAATATTTGGAATCTCACAATATTCGCCAGTAAAACACTGATTAATCCTGAAACGTATGATTTTTTAATGTATGAGAAGTATGTTTCTTATATCATGATTGCTATGCTCATTTTTTTTGTATTAAATATTTACTGTTGTAAATATATTTCCAACCTCTGTGATCTTTGATTTTTTTCACTTCTTAGATAACTAGAGTTGACATCTGCCATTTTCATGTAGTAAATTGAGCAGTAATTCTGATGTTTTTTCCTTATTCTATAATATCTGTGGAGGACTTCGTAAATTTTATTAAATTTTCTCTCTTATTCTTATGTTTATATACTTGTATGCTTTTTTGACATGGTCTTTTCTAGTTAAACTTCATACTTTTTTAATTATATTATTATTTTGATCACTGACCAATCAAAAATTGATCACATCTGCTTTTCACCTACCTTAAATGTAATGGATCCTAATATTTAAAACTTATGTATCTGAATGTTAGTGTATCTTAGAAACTAATCTATTAGTAAATTAGTTCAATTCATGAAAAATAATTTATAACAATAATGAATATATATAACTCAAATACTGAATATTTATAAATATCTAATAGAGTAAGTAAATTTCTAAAGGCATAATCACCAAAATATTAAATGTCAATAAATTTACATTAATCTGATTTAAACATTGCGTACTGTATACCTGTAACACAATCTCATATTAACATACTTCATCAATGAAATACAATTATGATTTATTAATGAAAACAATACATTTTAGATCATGCTCCTCCATACCCCCCCTAAAAAGAATAAAAAACATTTGAGTGCACTTTAGATCTCCATAACAGTCTAACTTTCAGGATTCTTGTTTTCTTGGGTCCTTAGCCCTGGGTTTCGACCCTCTTACTTAACTGGTTTTTCATCATCCTACAGATTAAAGCCAGTGAGTAAGAGTAACAAACCTTAACAATCTTACTGTGTTTTATGCACTTTTGTTGCATAATGAGCTTATACTTGAAAAGTCATTCAGAGTAGGCATTCACTCGTCCTCAGTGATGCATGCTTTTTTCCCTTGAAGGTGTTGGAATTGTTCCTCCACAAGAGACATCTACTTTGTCACAGTAATCAAGACAGTTTTCTTTGTAAGACTTGAATTCTGGCCAAGTTCTGGTGGCTTATACCTGAATATTTAACTACCCAGGATGCTGATATCTGAGAATGGAGATTCAAAGCCAGTGCTTGCAGGAAGGTCCATGAGACTCTTATCTTCAGATATGTATTAACAATCCAGATGTGGAGCTGTGACAATATGTTGAGTGCCAGTCTTGTGCAAACAAACAAACAAAAATCAACAGACAACCTAAGGCCTAGTCCCAGGCTCTGATTTCTACAAAAAGTTAGCTCCAGTTCTACAAAAAGTTAGAATTTGAATCATGACATAAGTTTCAGACTTGGTTTTCCAATAGAATACAGAAAGAAAGTTTGTAGATGTGTGGTAAGAAAAATGTGAAAATTCATGGTTTGGTAGAGACTCAAACTAAATTCATATGTATAAAGCTTTTAATTTAAAAATAAGCTATTCAATTCAACATCTTAAAATGTGGCT